CCCCATTCATCTTCCAACATCCACCCAACATGGTCCCTACTATGTTCCCTAGTACAACCCACTAAACAACCATAAAATTCCAGGAGAAACATGGTACTTTCTTAACCCTTTAACCACCAAATAAATCCTCATATATGCAGCCAAAGTACCACACATTATCCTTTCCCTTTGTCCCCCCTAGTTGGCTGAACACATCCCCCCCAAATCATCCTAAAAGAATGATATCCATTCCCCTTGGTTTGCCTTTCATTGGAGACCCTACAACCACACCCATCCCTGATTTTTTTCCAATAAAAGGACCTAAAACATGGCTGATATTTCAAGGCTTTGAGAGAGGATGTTGCTAGGAAGTTTCCTTATGTCTACATTCAATGTATTGTGTATTTCTTCTCCCTTCCACCTGCCTATATAATCAGGCCCTATTGCCATTGTAAACACAACTTTGAATATTAAAACTCCATTTTACTCTTTGAGTATTATTAAAATAGTGTGATGCTATTTTAGCCAAATTCCTAATTCTATATCTTAAGAGTGGTTATCTTAAGTGTGAGTTTTAGGTTCTAGTTATTTAATTGAGTGTGTCATATCTTAATTAAATTCTAGACTCAACCCAAAGTTAAGATAAGGGTGTGTCATATCTCTTAACACCAACTTGGTTTATCATCTCCTATTTTATTCCCCCATTTCGTACCTCCCCATATTCTCTTCCTAAACCTCTTCTTTTCTTCCAAAAAAACACAAAAAAGAACTCCAAAAACACCTCCCATATTTCGCCCCATATACTTCCGCATTCATTTCCTCCACAAATTCATCACAAAATTAGCAACTTGATAAGACCCCCGGTTCACCCCTAACATTTGGTATCAAAGCTTTGTGTTGAACATCCCTAAGGGATCATCTTGACACGCCTCCCTCATCTCTTTTGTCAACCATACACTCTTCAAGCAATATATCCACCATGCCAAGCTCTTCTCAAAACATGTTTCAAGGGAAATTAGCTGCTGCCCAGGAGACACTAAAGAAGGACGTTGAGCTTGTGATGAAACAAATCAAGGAGCTCACTAATTCAGTGGAGATTCCCACGTTTGAGGGAAGAAATGACCCGGAGAAGTTCTCAAAGTGGCTAGCAAAAGTTGAAGACGTCTTTATACTCAAAGACGTACCCGAAGACAAGAAGGTCAAGCTAGTGGTGGCAAAGTTTCAAAGACATGCCTCTACTTGGTGGGCTAGCGTTGCCTCAAAACGAAAGCTCCAAGGAAAAGCGAAGGTGAGAACTTGGGAAAAGTTAAGAAAACTCTTAATTAAGAGATTTTCTTCCAAAGATCATATCCATCAGGTACTTGAAAATACTCTCCCTTTTTCACCAAAAACTCTTTCTAAAACCATGTCCTTTTCTCCACAACAAAGTTCCCAAAAGCCATCCCAAAGCACCTTCCTAAAAACCCCATCATTAAGCCCCGTACAAGGTGCCACATCCATCCCCATTCCTACCCCTGAACATACACTTCAAACACCGTCCAAACCCATCCCTTTACCTTCCCTACCTACTGCCCAAACTAACCCCAAAACCCTTTCAACACCCCTGCCCCAAAAGTCCTCACAAACCATCTCTTTTTCCTCCTTGGATACTATCCAAATTAACCCCAAAACCCTGTCAATACCCCTGCCTCAAAACTTTCCTAAACTCATATCTATAACCCCTCCACAAACTGCCCAAAACACCCCCAGATTCACATCCACTTCCACAGCTCAAAACCCCCACAAAACCATAGGCCCTCCACCAAAAGCCATGGTCATACCTCCACCAAAAACCTGCCCATCTATTCCCAAGAATTCCCATTGCTTCCATCGTCAAAATATTGGTCATTATGCTATTCAATGTCCAAATAAGGATCTGAAGTCCTTGCTTGAAGAAGAAGAAAAATCAGAATCTTTGGAACTTAAGGAAGCACAAGAAGATGTGAAATCTCAAGGCCAATATGTAGATGAACTCGTGGGCAGTGATAGGCCATTGAGTAGTCTGGCCCACTCTCTTACTCATTTAACTCCCCAAAAGTGTTATGAGAGGACCCAAAGTGGAGTCATGAGCCGAAACGCAGGAGCCTTGCCCCGAGGGTTATCTTCACTAACGGTACCTCGTACCGAGTTTGTTAAGTTTTTGCAGGTTCCAAGTAAGGAAGGAATACAAGAAACATCCGAGTTTTATTATAAGACTCGTGAAAGGCTTGAGAAGAGAAGTGAGTTGAAAAATCCCGCCCACTTTCAACCCGGCGACCTAGTGTGGGTCCATATTCAAAGAGAGCGTTTTTCTGAGAAACACAAGTCAAGGCGGCAATTCCGAGACGATGGCCCATTCGAAGTGCTAGCCCTAGTCAACGACAATTCCTACATGGTCGACCTTACAAGAGGTCAAAGAGTTGCTACCACATTCAAAAAAGGGGACCTCAGTCCATATGACGGTCTTGATTATCCGTTGAGTTTGAGGGCAAACTCTTTTGAAGACCGGGAGGATGATATATCTGGGCCCGAGCCTATCATACCCTCCCCCATATCCCACACCCTCATGGAAACCAAAGGACTTAGGTTCAAACATTATGATCCATTTTAGTGAGAATTCAATGTCCTTTAGCCCGAAAGGCCAAAATAACTTTCGTTTTGACCTAAGGGTTCCGCTGGCCAACCCCCACTCCGTCCAACCCAACCCTAAACATCCAAAAGTATTTCATTTCCTTTTGATATCCAAAATAAAGTCTC